ACTACTTAGTTTTAGCCTTGCTTTTCAATTTCTATGCCTAGTACACAAACCTTATTAGAGAGCATGTCCCAGTCAGCACTCCAAGTCCCAGCAAGTACCCTGAGAATTGGAAAGGCAGTTGGGAGCATGCAACCAGACTAAATGAACAGGAGAGCAAACAGAAACAAGAGATTTTTGCAAAGAGAACTTGTTCACTTGTAAAGCTGACCAGCTTCATTTAAGGAGGGCTGTTTCACTAATTGGGTGAGGCTTGAGTTTTTTCTGGCTAAGTTTAGCAAAGGAGGAACACACTGACTTCCTACCGCCACAAACTAAGTGACAAGACAAATGCTGTGCTTGTATGCCAAAGCCAGGAATCCAAACTCTGTAAACGTAACATAGTAGCTACTTTTACCTCAAATAATTCTTCAAGAAGAAAACCAAACTTTCCAACAATAATTAGTATGAAGATACAAAGCCTGCAGGACAGAAGATACTTTCTAGTTTATTATATAGACTGCCAAAAGTACAACTGGACATAAATGGTTTATGCAATCAGCTCCTGGCTCTAAGGGAATAAGTCTGTTCCCTTGAAACCAAGATGGCTGAACTGAAGATGCTTAGAAAGCAGAATGATATGTAGTCAAAATCTTCTGGAATATGAGAACTTTGTCTTTTCCCAGGATTACAGTTTTTTGTTTTTTGTTTTTTTGGGGGGAGGGAGAACAAGAACCTTGGGGAAGGAGTACATAATTTCAACTATAAGGAAAATGTTCTGAGAAGAAGGAACCTAATTCTTGGGGGATGACCCCACATCCTACTGTACCAAGATACTTCTCAGGAGTGTGGTAGAAGGCTTGGTTATGAGTGAATTAAAGACAGATGGCTCTGTGATGGGCATGTAGGTCACATGGTGACTTGCCTGCCTGGAGTAAAGACTGTGGATATTGTGCCTTGTCTAATATGCTACTGAAGAATGCTGAAGAGAAAACAGAACTCACAGTCCACATTGGCACCAACAACCTTGGAATATACAGTCAGTGAATAATGGAAGCCAAATTTAGACTGTCAGGTAGCAGTCTGAAATCCAGTGTTCTCAGAAATGATACCTGTTCCATGTGCATGGCCAGGCAGAGTTCTGAATGCATGGATGACATAATGATGCAAAATGGAAGAGTTTAGATGGTTAGCATGAGGGAAACTTGAGGACAAATCAAACCTGTGTAAAGGTTTGTAAAGAAATATGGGTAACCAAAATGGAACCAGGCTGCTAGTGTATAACATCAAAAAGATGGCAGAGAAGCTTTTAAAATGATACCTGGGAAAAAGCTGACAAGCACTAGGGAGCATCCAATTTGGAAGGGTACAGATATTTCAGAAAATACTATAATGAATATAGCCAATGTTGAAACTGGATAATGGGAAAAAATGAGATTCAGGAGACAGAAAGCAGATAAAAAGGCATAAAAAAGGCTTGGCCAACAACATTGGAGAAAAGGCATAATGTATACATGTTTCTATGTTAATGCTATACTTCTCCAAGGCAAGGCAGGGGCATAAAGTATACATATTACAAAGAAAACAGATAAGGAGTTTTTATACCTCTCTGAAAACATTAGGAGCAAGGGTCACCCAGTGAAGCTGACTGAAAGAAAAGAAAGTACTTCACCCAGTGCATAATTAGCTTGTGGAACTTACAGGTTCATATCATTAGCATTAAACATGATGAGGATTACTAACTTGGACCTAAAAAATAGATCTGTCAAGCGCTGTTACTCTTGAAGAGTCAATTGTACATTCAAGATAGAAGCAGCAAATCTCCAAATACCAGTTGCAAGAGATCAGTAATAGGAGAGAGATATACAGTATCTCTGTCTCCTGCTTATGAGCACCCCAGAGACACCCGGCTGGTTACTGTGAGAGACAAAACGTTGAATTAAAATGGGCCTTGGCCTGATCTAGCAGTCTATTCTAAAATTCTTATGAAAAGCTGTCAAACTGAGTCTGTTGCTAGCAATAATTACTGAATTACCTGAGACTTGAAATAAGTCTCCTGAGGGGTAGCCAACACATCAGCAGATGCTATGTCAAGGTGCATAAGTGTCTGTCGAAAAGAAGGCCGATTCCGTGGCTTGCTTTGCCTGTCAAATGAAAGAAAAGGGAGACCATCCAGTAAGTTAACATTAGCCTATTTTGATTTTTTTTCATTGAAGGCTGACTTAAAAAGAAATATTAATTTCTAAATCTACTAGGATAGCCCAAAAAGGATGACATTCTAACTAAACAATATGCTAAAATGTCTAACTAAACAATAAAAACTATTTGCTGCTTTTCTCACTGTATATATTCTTTTCATGAATAGAACAACTATTCTTTCTCCTCTTTAACACTCTATAGCTTGCATCTCCTGTATTCCTTTAACATTTTTATGTTTTTTATGCTATTCTAATACCTCAGTATTCACAGTATTCGTTGTTCATTGCTAATTCTTACTTCAAGCAACATAAATGCAGACTCTACACACAGACATCACTGCAGGGACAGCAACAAAATAGAATATGTTACATATTGGAGAAGTGCTATAGAGTCAACCAGGATATTTCCATGTGCAGATTGTGGAACATAACTCCATTTGTTAGTTTAAAATATATGGGTTAAACTTAAAAAATTAAATGATCCAGTGGACATGTAGTCAAAATGTAAGATCAGTGTAAGTAATTGATTCAGTATACTTAATGTATGCAAGAAAATCTGAAAAGCTCAAGAAGAATAAGAGTCATTGTGAAAATCAAAGCAGAAAAAAATATCCCAAAATTTCAAAAAGGAAAAGATCTAAGTGAAGTTCAGAACATGACAGTCAGGAAAAAAGCAGAGGATAATGTCAAATGAGATTACAAAGTGATGTACCAGAGGCAATAGATCAGTGCGAGTTATAGATCAAATACTCCTTGAACTACTGAAAGCTGCATGAGAAGTAGTTAGTATGTTGACAGCTTTATATCAACAATTTTGGTCTAAAGGTTGGAAAAGATTAATATATATCTTTATACTGAAGAAGGGAAATGGAAGAGAATATGCAAATTACTGAACCATTGCACTATTTCCTCATATAAGCCAAGTTTTGCTTAACATCTTACAAAGATACATGAGGAGAGAAACAGCAGATGAACAGAGAGATTTCAGAACAGGGATATTAGGGCAGAGATCTAATGCGATAGATAATGGAGAGAGCAAGAGAACTTAAGAAGATTTACCTTTACTGACTACAGCAAGGCTTTAATTGTGTACATCATCCCAGAATGTGGAATTTACTGAAGTTAATGGGGTGCCAGAATCTGATTATAGGCAGTCCCCGGGTTAAGAATGCCTGGGTTACAGATGACCCATAGTTAAGAACGGAGCCTACTGTAGCAAACTTCAAGTTAAATACACAATTATTCGAATTAAATACAGAAGGGTTTGAGTTAATTACACAAACTATTTATACAGTATAATACTGTTCCAGCTTACATATAAATTCAACTTAAGGACAGACCTTGGGGACAGAACTCGTTCTTAAACTGGAGACAACCTGTATTCTTCTGAGGAAAAGTTAAATGAACAAGAAGCTACTGTAAGAACTACGTTTGGAGAAAAACAGTAGTTCAGAATAGGGAAGGGAATGAAACAAGGATGCACACTATCCCCATATCTACTTAGCTAATATAGCAAATATAAGACTGGCAGGATGAAAGGAGTTACAGATAGAATCAAAATCGCAAGTCAAAACATTAACAATTTGAGACCTACACACTTTGTTATCTGAAAGAAAGTACAACTCAGAAGATCTCATTATGAAAGTGAACATGGAAAGCGAAAATGTTTCATATTTGAAATTAAACCAGAATACCAAGGAAATGCCAACATATATGTTTAGTGAACTCATAGTAGATGGCAAAAAATGAAGGTGGTAAATAGTTGTATTTGGGGGCTCAAGAATAAAGATGGACAGTGAACTGGGTAATAAAGAAGAGATAAATCCTAGAGAGAAAGGCAATAATAAACTTAAGACAAAATCATGAAAGATTACTGTATTTCTGCTAGAAAGATTGGAATAGTTAAAGTAATGGTCTTTCCAACAGTAATGTACAGTTTTGAGGACAAGATACACATAGGAGAGGATGACAGAAAAATGGTTTTGGAGATAGTAAATTATCAGACTGCAAAAGAACAAATCAGTTTTGGATGAAATGAACACTATTTCTTTAAAACAATTATCAACAAGCAGAAACTCACAAATATTGTGCAAATGATGCAAATGAGCAAATGATGGACCAGAAAAGAGAAAAACAATTATACTTGGCAAAACTGAAGGAAATAGAAGGGGAAGACTTGGATAAGATGAATAGCCAGGATCAAGGAGATCACTGGAATGTTCTTAAAAGAGCTATGCATTGTGACTAAAGACAGCTTAAGATGGCAGCCATTTGTCCATACAGTTGCTAGGCACTGGGCCTGATTCAATGACACTTAACTAATTATTGACTATAGATCCAAAAGAAATGAGAGAAATTGATCACAGAAGAAATCTGGAAAGTTGAAATAAATTATATTTACTATCTCATTACATGTGGCAATTTATAACACATTCATATCAACACTCATTCTTTAAACACTTCAGTTTTATCAAGCCAACAAATGATTTAAAATTACATTGTTGTCATTTATGTAAGAACAGATAACAGCATATTGTTAATAATCTATTTTACTTCCAATCTGAAATCTCATTCTCAATTTCTATCTATATTAAGGTTTAAGTAGAAGGAAGTGTAATAACAATTGAATACAATTTTTACCATGTTTGCTTCATAAGGATTTTGAATCCATCTGGACAAGTGGAGGGTACAGGAAGATGCAAACTATTACTACCAACACCCCAGATGATGGCTGAAGAGTCTACATCTTTGTATGGAATTTCTCCAGTGAGAAGCTCCCACAAAACCACCCCAAATGACCTAATAAAAATAGGGAAAAAAACAAGATAAAAATCAGGAAAATTGTTGAAATTTTATTTACGGTCAATAACCAGCAAAGTAGTTACAACACTAAAACAATACCTAAAAGCAGGCTCAAATACAATAAAAGCAATAAAATCCTTAGGACCTACCAGCTAAAATTTACATGTACAGAAATAAATTGTTAAGATCAATGTCAGATCTCTTAAAGCAGAAATATTTTGCAAAAAGCACAGTATAGAAAAAATATGTATCAAAGAGAAAGTTCAATAAAATTAAATCTGCCAGCAACCACAAATCATGAAAACACAAAGTAATGAATTTTTAATAGAAACACTGAAATAGGTGAGTAGTTATAATAGTATTACTTGCCATATGTCCACTTTTTCAGAAACAGGTTCGTTACGAATCACTTCTGGGGCCATCCAAGCTACAGTTCCTGCAAAGGACATTTTTGTACTCTTATCGCTGAGTTCTTTAGAAGTACCAAAATCAGAAATTTTCACTGTATCATTGTGGGTAACTAATACACTGAAAAGAATAAAATACACAGGGAATCACATGTGAGATTCATAGTAATTCAACTCTTACTTTAGGTTCAATTTCCTTTATCTCCTCATAAACTCCATCTACTCACTTGGGTGACTTGAGATCTCTGTGGATAATTTTATGGAGGTGTAAATAATTCATTCCACTAGCAATTCCAGTGGACCAGTCTACAAGCAAACGAGGTGTTATCTTTCTACCTGCTCGCAACACTTCATACAATTGTCCATGTGCACAGTATTCCATTATTATACAGTAGCAGGGTGCCTGTGTGCAAACGCCCCTAGGATAAAAAAAAAGAACCATAAATATTTCAAAAAATCAAAATCAAAGCAGTAGGGAGTTAAGAAAGAAGCCAATAGAGAGAAGGTTCTGATTCACATTTCTCCAGAACAACCAGAAGCATTTCCTAAAAAACCACTATTCCTTGTTTGCCCTTTGGTCATATTTAGACCTAGTGTATACAAAAAATGAAACAGTAAACAGTAAATTATTTCCCTTGTGAACAGATTACATACATCCTTGAATTTCATGAAATTGTACTGACTGCATACTGGTAAAAACTTTTTTCATGCTCAGCAATGACATTTTCATGAAGTGAAGACAGGAAGAAAAAATATTAAGTTCATTATAATGAAAGATCCAAAGATTTCCCAAGAACACAGACATTAATTATTGTTCCTGGCTAGAAGTGTGCAAAATGTTTCAAAAGTTGAAATGGATTATATCAAGATTGGAACACTTAAGAATTGTTTGAACAGCTTTAGAACACTTCTGCTGAGGTCTGAATAGTCTGTTTCAAGATTGGGACATTTCCATTTCAAAAAGCTTTCTGCATTTCTATTCATTATTAATACTCTTGGTAGTGACTATTATTTATACAATGGGGAAGCAACTATAATATTTCTCTGTAAGATGTCACTATTCTTGTTCTTTTCACCAATAAAAGAAGATTGTTCAATTGAAAGAACATATGCATATGTTATTACAATCTACTTTCTCACTACCCAAAAATCAATTTAACAACAAAGTGATAATTCTATGGTATTATCAGATAAAACTATTTTTCCATTAAGAACTAAAGTTCAGAGGATAAAAGGAAACTTCGGTACTGTAATCTGAATGCCTCTGAGCCAGATATGACGACTTACAGCATGAGTTTGAAAAGGTAGTCCTAGAATCAGAATAATCCATGCACAACCTACTTGAAAGCAATGATGTTTGGATGTTTCAGCTTCCTCAGGTGCTTGATATCGGTTTCACTCTGTTCTCTCACTTTCTTGATGGCCACTTCCTCTGTTCGAAATTTACCTAAGAAAACAGCTCCTTGTGCTCCACTGCCCAACCACTGCAGCTCAGATATCTCCTCAAAAGGAACCTCCCATGTATCTGATAATAAACAAGCAGAGTTATTATAATGGCAAACAACTGCCTAATGACAAACAACAAAATAATAAATCATCTAGTCTCTTGGTAGCCTGCAGGCCTTTTGAACTTAAAAAACATGCAAATGTATTCATCTTCAGAAGATTTTGCTTCCTACATAACAATAAATGTATGGCTGAGTTTTAAAATGTGGTTGTTTATTTTTCTGTTTTAATCCCATATAATGGATCTGGGGAGTTTTTATGCCACTCAGAATCACTTAACTGGAGTGGCCTATAAGTCCTGCAAAGAAATAATTAATAAATAAATAAATAAATAAATAAATATTGCTTTTAAAAATCACCCTGCACCTCCTTTCTGCATCAGTGCCTCCATTAGCTGCTAGGCTTATTAGATAGATGTCAAAAGAGTCTCTTCTTCCCCCAAACCACAAAGCCTAAATTAGAAGAATATCCTAACTAATAAAGGAGAAGAAGTCCTATCAATTTTATATACAGTGTTTGAAATCCAGTTAAATATTCAAAATGTAATGTTGATTTTGGAGTTTGGCTAAGAACAATGGAGTACAACTTATAGTTTAGCATTTGTGAAAGTCATTTCATCTATGTCAGAGGGAATTTCTTAGTCACTGTGGTCAACTGCAATAGGAAATGTTTTCCTAAGTATTTATGAGGCATGCAATGTCCAACATACTATGCACTGAATCTCCATAACCTTTCCCCAATAAAGAAGTTTGAGTTCAAAGGACACAGAAGACCCAGCTGTTTTAATGAAGATGGACAGTGAATAATGCAAGGAAAACTTGATTTCTAATTTACCTTTCGTATTTATGGGGGGGAGATTATAAAGGCATCAAGCACCTGGCTCCAGGAAATAAGGAGACCCATTCATTTCAAAGATGCTTTAAATACTATTCCAACTGTGCATTAAGCTTTTCTTACCACATGCACAAAGTGTTATTTCTGAGCCCAGTTACTTTACATTCAACTAATCTATTTATTTTATCTTAACTACACTAAAAGAAGTTTTGACAATTTGTTATTTGACTTAGGAAAGCTTATATGATATGATGAATTATTACATTAT